GAATCTGAAGCAGGCTCCAGGCTCTGAGCTGTCAGCACAGCCTGTCGCAGGATTTGAACTCACAAGCTGTGAGATCATGACCTGAGCAAAGTTGGACACTTAGCTGACTGAGCCACCCAGTCACCCCCCTAGGTGCCCCTGTTTTCTTAATTGTTTACATGTATTATCATTAATAAAACCTAGATTCCCTGAAGATTGACAACTTGTACCTCTAGTTATAAAAAATTGAATAAAATTGAGTAAATTCAGTTACTAAACATGTGGTTAAAGACTTAGTATTCATTATGAGCCAGCTGTATTGCATAGAATATATTTTTGTGTGCCTAACTACCAAACTCTTTTGGGGATCACCAGAGAATACTAAAGAATCAGTCTCCACCCCATTTTTGGTAAATTTTTTCAACCCTAATCCCCCATGGTTTTAACATTTCAGGTAAGTAGTATCTTTATCCTTGACTTCAAGTAATGTAGTTTAGGAAAAGACAGTGAGAATTTGTTAAAAACCTCCTATGTGCCAGGTCCTAATACTAAAATTTAAAACAAAACCGAGTCTCTGTTTTTTGAAGGAGATATTAAAAAATAAATAAATGCTATATATTGAATAAAAGCAAAGACGAGTGTGTTGGGGGAAAGGGAATTTGGAAAGAATTGCATGGAATTTGAGGTGGCCGGTGGAAAAGGTAAAGAATTTGGTTCTATTTGTGAGAATCAATTTCATGCAGAACTTTGGAACTTGAGATGGGGTCAGAAAACCAGGGAGAATAGTTTAAACAGGCATTAGAGAATCATTAAAATCTTTTGAGCAAGCTTTTGACAGAGTAATTTTTAAAGAAAGGTTGCCTGAAAATAGGCAAAATACATTGGCATAACAAGGCCTCGTAGTTATTTCTGTAATTAGGTATCTTAGTCTTATTTAGCCTGTTCAAATTTTAGATTATTTAAATCATAGATTGCATGAAACATTAAAAAGATCTGAAATTTTTATTTAATTTTAAAAGTGAATGTCCATGCCTTTTTTTTAACTTACCTTTTCTGCTAGTCATTTTTTGTTTTTTAAACACTTTATTGGATACCACATACCCTAAAATCACCCATTTAAAATAAACATTCATGGTTTTTAGTATATTCACGGGGTTCTACACTATCACCACAGTTTAATTTTAGAACATCTTCACTCCCCACCAAAAGAAACCTCATTCACATTAGCAGTTATCTCCATTCTCCTCTGTCTCCCCTTCTTTCTCCAGTCCTGAACAACTATTTTTTGTCTCCATAGATGTGCTATTCTAGATAATGCATATTAGTAGAATCGTGCATTATGTACCACAGTTATATGGTTTACATTTTATGTCCTTGTGAAAATCATAGTTTCACTTTTGATCCCACATCCAATCCTGGTAAGTACCATATCTGCATTTATGTGATATATCTTATCCCAAAGGAGTTGAGTTGGAGAAGGTAAGGGTTACCTCCTATCTTCTGAATTACTTGATTTCCTGTTATGTGTATAACCTAAAAAAGTTGAAGCATAGGAGCAATCATGGACTCAAAAATTAAATATATTTTAAGATTTACCATGTACTATAGTATGTTAATTAATTATGAGAACTTTTTTTATTATAGTATATTCAGCAGAACATAAGAGCAGATTGTTCCAATATTGACAAAATTCTTGAACCACCTGAAGGCCAAGATGAAGGTGTATGGAAATATGAACATTTAAGGTAAGTCTTTATAATATATCAAAATAGTAGTAGTATTTTTATTAGTAAAAATAACCTTTAATGCTGATGATTATGAATCATAAATAAAATCATTATGTAATTGCAGACTAAAAAGCTGAATTCTAAAGTTTTTGTGTTTTTGGTATTATAAAGTTTTCAACTTTGTTAATTCACTGATTTTTTTTCTAATTTATGGATTTGGGCATTATTATCTTTTTACACAATTTTCTTTTTTTTTTTTTTGAAAAACTATTTAAAAAAATTTTTTTTAACATTTATTTATTTTTGAGAGACAGAGACAGAGTGCAAGTGGGAGGTGGGGAAAAGAGAAAGGGAGACAGAATCCAAATCAGGCTCCGGACTCTGAGCTAATCAGCAAGTGATGTGAAGGGCTCGAACTCACAGGCTGTGAGATTGACCACAAGGCTGAAGTCAGATGTAGCAGCTGGAGCCATAGGTGCCCATGAAAAACTATTTTTGAGAGAGAGAGAGAGAGAGAGAGATTGTGGGGGGGGCGGAGAGAGAGAATCCCCAGTAGGTTCCACACTGTCAGCATGGAACCTGATGTGGGGCTCGAACTCCCGAACCATAAGATCATGACCTGAGGCTAGTGCTTAATAGCTGAGCCACCCAGGCACCCCGCCCCCCCCTCCATGGCCTTTTTTTTTTAATTTTTTTTTTTCAATTTATTTATTTTGGGACAGAGACCAGTATGAACAGGGGAGGGGCAGAGGGGAGACACAAGAATCAGGAAACAGGCTCCAGGCTCAGGCCATCAGCCCAAGTGGCAGTGGGGCTCGAACTCACCCGAGACCAGCGGACGTGACCTGGCTGAAGTCGGACAGCAACCCGTCTAATGCCAAAGCCCCCCCCCCGCCCGGCCCTTTTTAAGTAATCTCTATACCCAGTGTGGGGCTTAAGTCCATGAACCCAAGATCAAGTTGGTAGCATTCTTACCACCTGAGCCATCAGATACCCCTACATGGGTTTTCTTAAACACAAATTATTCCTTAACCACAAATACATTGTTTCTATTTTTCCACTCATGATAAACTTTATTTCTCTATAAAGTTTATTTCACTATAAAGTAACACAAGTTTCCAGTCTAAGCTTGGTGTCTGATGAGTTGCCTATTAACTACTGTGAACTGTGGTAAATAAAAATTAATTGTAAATAAAAATTAATTGTAATTCTGAAGGAGTTTGGGAACTTCTGATGATGCCCTTTGAATGAGAAAATTGATGACTAGTGAATGACTAGTTAACAAGAATTAACTATTTTTTTTTTTTATTAAATTTTTTTTTTTCAACGATTATTTATTTTTGGGACAGAGAGAGACAGAGCATGAACGGGGGAGGGGCAGAGAGAGAGGAAAACACAGAATCTGAAACAGGCTCAACTCTGAGCCACATCAGCCCAGAGTGGCAGGGGCGCGAACTCGCAGGACGAGATCGTGACCACAGCTGAAGTGGGGCAGCAACAGGCCCTGCACCCAGGCGCCCCAAGAATTAACTTTAAAAGCAGCTTAATCCTAGGGGTGCCTGGGTGGCTTAGTTGGTTAAGCGTTCAACTCTTGATTTTGGCTCAGGTCATGATCTTGCAGTTTGTGAGAACGAGCCCTGAATCAAGCGCCATGCTGACACTTGCTGTCAAAATAAATAAAAATTAAAAAATAAATAAAGGCAGCTTAATCCTGAAGTTACTAAGTTATTTCTTGAAGTTGCAAGCTTCTCTGTAAACAGGAGCTGAGATGAGTTGGTAGGTTAAATATAAAGAATGTAGCTAGAGATAGATGTTCATTAGGGTTTGTAACTTTTTAAGTTAATTTTTAAATAATAAGTGAAATTGAAATAGGACTTTCCCTGCATAAATTAGACCACTTTTTTGATGAGTCCCACAAATTGTAGAGTGGGCACTGTTTTTCGGTTTAGTTTGATCTGGTGTGTTTTTGGTTTTTTTTTTTTTTGCTACAGACTTGTTATATAGACATTGCTAAGACATAACATCTTGTCATAACAGTCCAGCAGTTTCAGGATGCTAAGACTTCTTTGTACTCTGCTGGTTTCTTAGACAAATCACTTGACTATTTGATCTAGTGTTTTTAGAGATTTTATTTTTAAGTAATTTCTGCACCCAATGTGGGGCTCGAACGCACAACCTTGAGATCAAGAGTCACATGCTCCAACAACTGAGCCAGCTGGGTTCCCCTGACATAGTTTTTTAAAAATACATCTCAGTGCATCATAATTGAAGGTATGAATATGTAGATATTTTCCCATTCTTATAAATCAAAATAGCACTTTAGATTCTCTGCTTTTTTTAATTTTATTTTTTATTAAAAGATTTTTTTTATTGTTTGTTTATTTATGAGAGAGAGAGAGAGAGAGACAGTGTAAGCAGGGGAGGGACAGAGAGAGGGAGTAACAGAATCTGAAGCAGGCTCCCGGCTCTGAACTGTCAGCACAGAGCCTGATGCAGGGCCCGAACTCATGAACCATGAGATCATGACCTGAGCCAAAGTTGGACATTTAACCAGCTGAGCCACCCAGGCACCCTCTGCCTTATTTTTATCAGCTTTGAAAATAACTACTTACTTACCTGTTAGGATTAATGATGAAAATAAGTGGGGATTTTTTTTCACTACAAGCATAATCCTAACAAGTGAGGTCTGATTTTAGCATATAAGATTTTAATTTCAGATCTAGGAAAACCTTTTCCTGCATATTTAATTAGACTATAAAATATGCAGTATACAAAACTTATAAAATCTTTCTCATGCATATTCCATTTGTCCTGGTGCTGTTTGTAGTTTTTTTTTTTTCCTGAATATTAGCCACTTTATTTTGGTTTCATATTTATGTATTAAATATCACATATATATTCTTTCGTGTCTTCATCATAGTGTATATATCTTTATAGTTGACCCAGAAGAATTTCAAAAGTAGCTTTTTGAGTTTTTGCATGTACTTGATGTAATTGATTTGAGGCTTAATACTTGCCCTTATTGGTTAATATTGTTGATTATATTATGATGCTAATGGGACTTCATTCAAATCTCCCACTAGCCCATATGGAATCTTTGTAATCGGAAGAGATGCTCCTTCTTCTGAGTGGATGCAATCCTATGTATGACTTAAGAGATTAGAGCATAGGCTGGATTTCAGCTCTGGCTTGTCTCTTCAGCTGCACAACTCTATATGTTAGCCCTATATTGAATTAACTGGAAGCTGTTAGATTTGCACTGTGTGCCACAGATTGTACCCATAAACACTGCCAAATCAGTTAGCTTAGTTTTGCTGCTGGCCATACGTGAGTTAAAGTAGATGAGAAACTTATTTTTTACCACCTGTCTTTATTACCACTTAGTGGAAAACAACTTGAAAACTTGCATGCAGCCTATAAGATACAGGGCAGTAGAGGGTGATGTGGTGATTCAGAAATAGTGTTATTTTAGTGATCTAAGATGCATTATTGTTAGGGATCTGGAAAGGAAATACATTTACAGAGAACTGAAAATCTGACTCCTTATTTGCTTTCTTCTATAGCTTTTCTTTCATATATGTGTGGGGTTTTTTGTTTTTTCCCTTTTGGGACTCTCCTTTATCTTCTAACTAAGTAGGTTTTAGTTTTGCATTTGTAGGGAACCACACTGTTCTCATTTGTTGGGGAAACATAATAGTGATTAATTAGGTAAGATTTTTAGAGGGGATGTGTTCAGTACTTTGACAGCTATTAAAGTAAGTTATCTTAGTGACATAGAGGATTGATGGTCGTTTCATATAAAATAACAAGTTTGTCTAAAAATGATGATCTCAATCTTACACAATTTCCTCTATTCTTCACTTATTAAAAAACATTTTGAACACTTACTATGTTCCAAGAATTATTCTAGGCTTTATAATTCTGTTTGGCAGTTTTAGAAGAGTATCATGAAAAAATGCTACAATCTACTAAGTGACCAAAAAGCAAGATAAAAAATTGTGTATGATTTGGTCCCAATATAGTTTAATCTTTGCATAGAAAATCAAATTTGTAGGTAAGTAATAATTAACTTTTGGGAGAGGTGGTAGAATTATGAAGGATCTTCTTATTGTACATTATATATTTGATCATATTTAAGGTTTTCATAAGGAACATGTTGTTTGTAATCAGAACAAAGTTTGTAGAATATTCAGGTATTTAAAACATCTAGTTTTATGTTTGTATTCAGATAAATACACACATGATGTTTTACGTAACTGGAATCTTACTGTAAATATAAATATATATCCTTTGTTTATGTATATACCAACATTTTGCTACTCTGCAATTGCTGATTATTTGGAATGTTTCAAAAAAATTTTATATTTTCTGTGAATGTCTTTATACATTTATCTGTATGCAATTCTGATTATTTTATTAGAATAGATTTCTAGGAGAATGACTTTGTAAATAAAAGTATATACTTCCTAAGCATTTTGGTAACTATTTCCAAATTCAGAAAAATTCCACCAATTTCCAGTGTATAATTATGATCAACTCACTGGAGGCTGATATTGAACATTATTAGGGTTGTTAGTTTTGGGTTTTGCATACTAATCTGTATGCCTTTGTACAAAATATGCCATGTAAATTCAGATGGTGTTGACAGTGGTGACGACAAAGGAAGGATGGTACTGATGGGATTCTGTTTTTACAGTTAGTATTCTGAAAATAATGTGGAGGATGGATAAGACTTTTCATTTATATATTTGCATTTTTAGGCAATTCTGTCTTGAACTAAATGGACTTGCTGTCAAACTTCAGGTAATATTTTCTTTAAGTTAAAGCTATTATTGAAAGTACTGATTTTTTCTGTTTTTGTAACATTAGGTGCTCCCAAAGACTCACCCAACATTTCTAATTATTCTGTACTTTTACATGGGAGTGTAGTAACCCAAATGATAGACTTTTTCATTGTTTTACATATTAAGAAGTATAACTATTTCTAACAGAGTGAGTGCCATCCAGATACATGTACTCAGATGACTGCAACTGAACAATGGATTTTTCTTTGTGCAGCTCATAAGACTCCAAAAGAGGTGAGACATTATGAAATAGAATGCCTAATAAAATCATCATAACCTAAATCTCTCCATGAGAGTGGTCAATAAATTTTTAGTGTTTTAGTTCACTGTTTATTTTGCTGTTTGGTTTAGAGTTCTTTGTTTTAAGTTTATTGCCCCAGTGCTATTTTAGGATTTATGATTATCATTTTTCATAATTGGATAATATCATGGGCTAGAACTCACTTTATGATTCGTTGCCTATTACAGAATAACATCTACCATATGATGCTGATAGCTACTGTATAATGGATGAGATATACATGTTTAGTTTTTTGGTTCAGTTATAATTTTTTTAATGTTTGTTTATTTTGAGAGAGAGAGCGTGCACAGCAGGGAGGAGCAGAGAGAGAGAATCCCAAGCAGGTTCCATGCTGTCAGCACAGAGCCCGACGTAGGGCTCGGTCCCATGAACCATGAGATCATGATCTGAGCTGAAATTAAGAGTCTGGTGCTCAACTGACTGAGCCACCCAGGTGCCTCGTAATTTCTTTTGATAGGAATAACTGTTGGTGATTACAAGTTGATGAGTTATCTATTAAAGAAATGTTGTTTTTGGGCTTTTTGACTTTATAGGTCAGTATTTTTTACCTACTTTTTTTTAATATTTCTTTTTTT